TTTTTTTTAGTTCGAGGTTTTCTCTTGTTGCCCAGGCTAGAGTGCAATGGCATGATCTTGGCTCACTGCAACCTCCACCTCCCAAGTTCAAGCGATTCTCCTGCCTCAGCCTCCCAGGTAGCTGGGATTACAGTCATGTGCCACCACGCCTGGCTAATTTTTGTATTTTTAATAGATATGGGGTTTTACCATCTTAGGCTGGTCTTGAACTCCTGACCTCAGGTGATCTGCTTGCCTTGGCCTCCCAAAGTGTTAGGATTACAGGTATGAGCCACTTAGCCTAGTTCACTATTTCTTTTGCTATATCCAGACTCCTGCTAAGACCATCTGATGACTTTTTAATTTCAGATATCATATATTTTTAGTTTTAAATGTCTGTTTCTTTTTATAGCTTCTAGTTTTCCACTGAAACTATCTTTTTATCTGTTTTGTCTTTTCCTCTTATTTTCTTGAATATATTACTCATAGTAATTTTTCCATTCCTGTTTGATGATGCCAATATCCAAATCACTTTGGGAATGGTTCTTTTGTCTTTTGTTTGCCTTAGTTTTTAGTCATTCTTGCCTGTTTTTTTAACATACCTTGTAATTTTTTAAAATAGCATGTTAGACATTATGGGCAAAAAATTATAGTGGTGCTACATGACGTTATTCTCCAAAGACAGTTGTTTTCTTCTAGCAGGCAGAGTGCTGGCAGATCACTTTGATCTTGTTAAGGCTTGGTTTTAGGCATTGTTAAAGCTGCTCTGTTTTGGCTTTGAACTTTAAATAATTGGTTTTTTTTTTTTTAAATTTTGGGATGGAGTCTCGCCTGTCGCCCATTCCTAGGGCATGATGGTCCTTACCTTTAGAATGTAGCCCATCTGGGTTGTTGCCTAATGTTCCTCACTGGCCTTTTGGGAGTTTGAACTCTAATCTCTCTCCCCAGCACCGTGTGTCTGATAAAAATTTCTGCTCAGTTCTTGAATTTCTGAATTCCATTTTTTTGCTGGCCCCTTGGAATCTCTTCCCATACACACACAACTTGGAAGATGGCAAGTAATTTAAGGAAAATTTGTAGACAGATTTTAGAGGTACTTTTTGGTCTGTAATTCACTCATCTCTAGAGTTTTTGCCTCTCAAGCCTTACCCATTTTGGCAGTCCTGAATTCTGACTTTTCTGTCTTCGGCTTAATCAAATAGCCATTTTCTGGTTGGGCTCAACTCCTCCATGGTGTCATTTGGCAGTGGTCTTAGTAAAAGAGCTAAGGCTTTTAATCCCTTAGGTTCTTCCTGCTTGTGTTGATTATTGTCCAGTGCCTTCAGAGAGTTCTTTTATAAATATTGTGTAGCTTTTTAATATAGCTGTCTTCTATGGGAAGATTAGCCTAATAACAAGCTGTTCTATCATGGCAGGACCCAAGAGTCCTGTATCTAGATTTTTATTTTTATAAGCATTATTTGAACTCATATATATATATATTTTTTAATTATATATATATATATAAATATAAATATATATAAATATATATATATATATATATATTTTTTTTTTTTTTTTTTTTAATTTTAAGATGGAGTCTCTCTCTGTCACCCTGACTGGAGTGCAGTGGTACGATCTCAGCTCAGTGCAACCTCCACCTCCCAGGTTCAAGTGATTCTCCTGCTTCAGCCTCCCAAGTAGCTGAGACTACAGGCACACGCCACCACGCCCAGCTAATTTTTGTATTTTTAGTAGAGACAGGGTTTCACCATATTGGCCAGGCTGGTCTCAAACTCCTGACATCATGATCCACCCGCCTCAGCCTCCCGAAGTGCTGGGATTACAGTTGTGAGCCACCATGCTCGACATAAATAATTGGGTTTTTTAAAATCTTTTTTTCCTTCAGATTTTTGTACCTCTTTAGAGCTATATAACACAATCTAAATATGAAGTGCATTTTTCAGAACTGATCCCTGTAAGATATATCTAGCAAAGTAAAAAGTTTTGGCCATATATTCTAGTATAATAAATATTACAAACTTGTTACTTAACGTTTGAACCAAAAGCAATGCATAATAAAATAAGAAATGTTTTTAGCTTATCTAGTAAAATATAATTAATGCTATACAAAGTATTTAAGTTCCTAAAAGTGTTGTTTTCTGAGCTCTTATTTTGTGTGAAATATATGCTCTAACATTATGGATATTTGCAGGTCTCGACACAGGCGATTTTCGTATAGCCAGTCTAAATCTCGTTCCAAATCATTACCAAGGCGGTCTACCTCAGCAAGGCAGTCAAGAACTCCAAGAAGGAATTTTGGCTCTAGAGGACGGTCAAGGTCCAAGTCCTTACAAAAAAGGTCCAAGTCAATAGGAAAATCACAGTCAAGTTCACCTCAAAAGCAGACTAGCTCAGGAACAAAATCAAGATCACATGGAAGACATTCTGACTCAATAGCAAGATCCCCATGTAAATCTCCCAAAGGGTATACCAATTCCGAAACTAAAGTACAAACAGCAAAGCATTCTCATTTTCGGTCACATTCCAGATCTCGAAGTTATCGTCATAAAAACAGTTGGTGAACAGCAACAGAAAGAGCACTACATAGTCTTTAATATAAGTTATTAAACCTCTCATTATGTTAAATAAAAATTCCTTAAGGTGTACAGAAAATGCGAGTTGATATTAGTTACTTTGGGCATATGGAAGAAATAAAATCTCTCTAGCTTTGTATTAATAAAAATTTGGTCTCCATTTAAAGGGCCCACACCACAAATTATGAATTGTCTAATGTCACCATTTTATGGACCATTTTTTATTTATGTTGTGGCAGAAGAGTACTTTTCAAGGGAAATGAGTAAATGGGAACTAATTTTTTTAATTCTACTTGGATAGTATTAGTACTATTAATAATACCTTTTACACAAATATTTTTGACTTTAAAGCACTTTCCTGTAAAAAGTAACTATGACTGTATAATTGCATAGAGCAGACTTAAACCGTGTGACACCTATGTGTCTTTTGGGTCTTCTGTTTAAACTTGGACCAATTCCTGGTGGATATTAGTTCATATTACAAAATTCTGATGTTCCAGAAAGTAGAATTTATATAGAGATCAAACATTCAAATGATACATTCTCTCCTAAGCCCAAAGGTTAATATTTTTATTGGGTAGAACAGTATAGGTAAGGTGTCATGAAATTTCATCCTATACCATGTCCACATTAGTAATGTCAAAACATTTGTGAATTACTGGATTTTGAATGGTTTGAGACTAATGCTTTAAAAATTAGGATGAGCAACACTCACAATCCAAAAATATTCATATTAAGCCTTACACATTTGAAGAGTGGTACATTTTATATAAAATCATATTTGATACCATTATTTCCACATATCTACTTTTCATCTGCTGCTTAATTTTTTCTTTTTAGAGTTCTAGCTCAGCTTTATACAGTATAAGTCTTATTATTTTTGAAAGAGTGTTTAGTACCTTGTATTAAGAAACTTGGCCAAGCATGGTGGCTCACACCTGTAATCCCAGCACTTTGGGAGGCCGATGTGGGCGGATTGCCTGAGTCCAGGAGTTTGAGACCAGCCTGGGCAACATGGTGAAACCTTGACTCTAAGATTTAAAAAAAAGAAAAAGAAACTCAAGACTACATCTTCAAAAAACAACTTTGCAGTATTTGAATTTTACATTATACTGCCCTTCATTTCTGACAGCCAAATAACTTTGTTGATACTGATTGCTTTTGTAGTTGTTATAACTAATAATTTCTTTGAAAATGTGTTTGTAGTTTATGTTTTTCAAAGGGTTTTGGTCGTATTTGTGATAGAATGGTTTTGCATATGATTATTATAGGGGATATATTTATAGAGCTCTACTTGTATACTTTGTGACTTATATTATGAAAACTTAAAAGTTCTCAACCCATACAGTTAGTATTTGTATCCAGAGTGTTAAAGAAAAAAAATCTGTCTTATATTTTTAGTATATAGGAGCCAGTGTTGCTTCTATTTGTTTTGAATACAAATTCCATTTTTCTTTGCATATTAGATCCTACGTGTAAGAAAAAACTTTACACAATAATTTGTATGCTGATAATATTTGGACAAGTGCCATAAATTCATGTATATTGTACTTTCTGAATAGATTTTCTCTAATCATAGCAAAATTTATTTATTTCAAAACAACAACTCTTTGAAATGTTCAGCTATAATAAAATTTAGTTATAAAATTATGTGGCACTACTGAAAATATAAAGGATAATCTGAAGAATGAGTAAGACAAACATTGATAGTAATTTTTAGTATTTTCAAAGTGTTTGGGTTCACACATAAATGAAATCATTTTAAAAACTAGGGCTGGGCACAGTGGCTCATGCCTGTAATCCTAGCACTTTGGGAGGCCAAGGCAGGAGGATCACTTGAGGCCAGGAGTTTGAGACCAGCCTGAGCAACATAGCAAGACCCCTGTATCTATAAAAATAATAATAACTAGGTACCATATTTCAGATACTATGGTGAGAAATAATAACGGGATTAATTATAGTATCTTTACTCTGTAGTCACAAATTATCTCTGTATTCCCAAACATATTTAATACCTTGATTTACCTCTGACTAGGTTTGTCATTGTAATCCCTAGGTTGCTTAGGAGGATACTGTTTGGTTTGATGTAAAAGCTGGAATGATAATAGCTCAAACTCTTGAGCATTTAGTGAATGCTTGGCACTTTTCTATACGTTTTAGGTTATTCACTTGTGTATTTAATTATCAACACCCTTATAAGGTAAATATCCCGCAATTACTTTTGCACCAACCTAATACCATTACAGACACGGAAATAGATGCAGAGAAGCTAAGTTACAAGGGCACATGGCATTTAAACTTTGGATCTGTAGAGTGACTGGGCTTCAGAGTTCTCTTCCTGACTGCTATTCCCATGGCTTTTGCAATGAGAAGTCTTTAACAAAGTATATGCTTAATTAAGATCATGTTTAGAAGGAAATGAGAGAATAGAATTAGAAAAAGAAATGACCGCAGGCTTCAATGCAAATGACTTTTGTGCTTGGGTGAAATTGTTTGGCTGGGTATCCTGGAAAATTTTCTTCTGGGAATATGTATATTCTAGGGTTCACTTTTGTCATAGAATTGTTTCTTGGCCCATTTAAGAGAGATACTTTGTTTGTTAATAAATGTTTTAATTTTTAGACACCTGTGATCAATTCTTTTTGAGAATATATTTACTTAAGTACTTCCCAAGTTTAGTGCAGGGATACTACCTACCATTTATTCAGGATCAGAGAGGGTAAGTTAAGGTCAAAGAAAAGAAAGACTACCATGACAGCTGCTTGTTTTCCTTCTATCCATGAATAATGCACGAATTATTTATGTATAGCAGCTGATATTTTTCGGTGCTAACAGGTAATAGGGGAATTTGCTGAAATTTTTATTTGGAGCCTTGGATTTAATTTTATGCTACTGGGCTAATTTATTTTTAAATACAAATTAATTTCAGTATTTTATTTGTAATGCTTACTTGAGATCTATTCTAAGACATGCTGTTGCATTACAAATAAGAATTGGTGCTTTTATTTTGATCCCACTGCCAGAGGCAAAATTAGTCAAAATTTAAAGGAAGGCATATGCAAATACTTTTGTAATCCTTCTAAACTACATTAAAATTGTAATTTCTGTCTGAGCGTGGTGGCTCACACCTGCAATCTCAGCACTTTGGGAGGCTGAGGTCGGCAGATTACTTGAAGCCAGGAGACCAGCTGGCAACATGGTGAAAGCACATCTCTACTAAAAAAATAGCAAAAGGCCGGGCGCGGTGGCTCACACCTGTAATCCCAGCACTTTGGGAGGCCGAGGCGGGTGGATCACGAGGTCAAGAGATTGAGACCATCCTGGTCAACATGGTGAAACCCCGTCTCTACTAA